TTTGTTTTTTTGAAACTCGATTGCGAAAACCTTTCGGCACCGGAGGTTTTTGAAGGATTTCGGCATGCGCGCGCGACGGCGCGCGCGTGTGCACTTCGTCCCATTGCGGCAAGAGGTTCGCGAACAAGTGTTATGTTAGAACAAGACATGTCACCGCATAGTGTTTTTTTCAAGAGAACCTCAGGGGGGGGATGCCGGTTGGCCTGGGACATTGTGGCTTCATATTTAGGATGGACATGTGGTCAGAATCGTATGTGATTTACATACCCGAAAGGGGGGCGATAACTCCGTGGGGGGGTAGAGTCTAGAAAGGAGAATATATAGATATGCGGTGCAGTCTGTGCGGTGAAGTCTATGTGGTGCAGTCTGCGCGGTGCATCCTACGTGTTGCAATTCACTTGCCGAGCTTGAAGTTGTCAACTCCACTTCTCGCGCAATCATCCCACTCACCCACCCGCGACTTGGTTTGCAAAACCCATGCGGGAGCGATTGCGATGAGTGCTGGATGAACGGCTACGACGACACCGACTATGTCTCCAACGACTTCGGCGACGACGACGACAACGTCGACGACGACAACACCGACGACGACGAAGATGACGACGACGACGCTGACGACGCCGCCGACGGCGACGGCGACGACGACGAAGACGACGACGACGACGTCGCCAACAAAGACGACGACGACGACGAGGGAGGAGGGATGACGACGACGGCGACGACGACAACGACGGGGGAGGAGGGATGACGACGACGACGACGCCGACGAAATAGGAGGTACAACGACGAAGCGCCGACGCAGACGACAAGAGAGGACGGACGACCACCGCGACAACGACGACGGAAACGACGACGACGCCAAGACGACGACGAAGACGAGGAAAGACAGAAGATGACGACGGTGACGACGACGACGAAGGAGGAGGGAGGACGTCGACGAGGACGACGACGCAAGAGCGAGCGCGCACGCTTTTGTTGAGAATATTCGTGTTGCAAAACCTTGTTATCGCGAGTGTTTTCTGGACACACGAATTTGTCACCCTTGCGAAACGAACGTTTTTTTGTTAAAATGGGTTTTGGCGACGGATTCATGTTGTTGCAATTTTGTTTTGCAGAGGGTTCTCGCGACGGCACGAGCACAAGGGTGTTCGAAATATTTCGACATGCGCGCGAAGCCCGTTTCGTAGTACTTTTTGAAACTCTTGAAAACTTATGTTTTTGTAGAAGAAACACTTCGCAAGAGCGCGCGCGTAAGCTTTTTTAGAACATCAGTGTTGCGAAACCATGTGTGCTTATATTTTTTGGAAACTCGATTTTGGAATCCTTCCGAAACCGAAGGTTCTTGAAGGATTTCGGCATGCGCGCGCGACGACGCGTGCGTGTGCACTTCGTCCTGTTTTTTGCAAGGTATTCTCGCACACCTATGACTCTTGATAAACGAGAGTGCGCGAATAGTATTTTTCTGGAGGATGGCGGGGTAGAGTGATAACGGCCTGGCTGGGATAGGATGACGTCATATTTAAACTGGGCGATGGGGCAGGATCATATGTACATTGCAGTGCGAAGAGGTGGCGCGTTAACTCCAGGGGGTCTAATCTTTTTGTAGAAAGGAGAATCGATGCGTTGAAATCTATGTGGCGCACTCTACGTGGTGCAATTCACTTTGACTGTATTGAAGCTGTCCTCCCCACTGCTCGTGTAAACATCCCACCCTCCCACCCGCAACTTGGCCGCAAGACCTCTTAAGACCGTGACGGTAGGTACCAAATGGCACGTGGCAGCGACACCGACGCCGACGGCGACAGCGACAACGACGACGACGACGCCGCCGACACCGTCTACGACGACACCGCCGACGTCTCCAACGACTTCGGCGACGACGACAACGACGACGGCGACGTCGTCGACGACGACACCGACGACGACGACGACGCCGACGACGATGACAACGCCGATGATGACGACGAAGACGCCGACGACGACGACGACGCTGCCGACGACGACGACGACGAAGATGACGACGACGACGCCGCCAACGAAAACGACGACGACTGAGGAGGGAGGACGACGACGGCGACAACGACGACAACGATGAGGGAGGAGGGAGGACGGCGACGACGCGAACGACGAAGAAGGACGGAGGACGGCGACGCCGACGACGACAACGACGGAGGAGGGAGGACGGCGACGACGACGACGACGGCGACGAAATAGGAGGGACGACGACGAGATGCCGACGACGGACGACGACGTCGAGGGAGGAGGAAAGACGACCATGGCGACAACGACGACGGAAACGACGACGACGCCAAGACGACAACGAAGACGAGGAAAGACAGAGGACGACGACGGCGGCGACGACGACGACGACGACGAGGGAGAAGGGAGGACGGCGACGACGACGACGACGCACGAGCGCGCGCGCCCGCTTTTGTTGAACATCCGTGTTGCAAAACCTTGTGCTCGCGAGTGTTTTTCGGACACACGATTTTGAAATCCATCCAAAACCAAAGGTTTTTCCCCCTAAGGATTTCGGCATGCGCGCGCGACGACGCGCGCGTCTGCACTTAGTCGCTTCTTTTGCAGAGGAGTCTCGTGACGGCACGCGCGCAAGGGCGTTCGAAAGATTTCGGCCTGCGCGTTTTGGAAAGTCTGGACAAACTCTGGTTTTCTCATGGTTTCGCAAGGGCGCGCGTTTTTTCGGTTAGAACAATAGACATATTTATTTATTAATTTATTTACGTATATATACATATATATATATATGTATAGATGTATGTCTTTGGCGACGCCACGTGCTTTTGCATGTTTTTGGAAGCTCGATTTTGAAACCCTTCCGAAACCGAATGTTCTTGAATGATTCCGGCATGCGGGCGCGGCGACGCGCGCGTGTGCACTTCGTTCCATTTTTTGCAAGGGATTCGCGAAAAAGTGTTTTGTGAGAACAAAGAATGTCACCGCAAAGTGTTTGTTAAAGGGGCTCTTGACACCGGATCATTTTTGATAAACGAGACTGCGCGCATAGTCGTTGTTGCAGAGGATGGCGGGTGGAGGGGGGTGGCGTCGATTTGGCTGGGATCGTATGAGTTCATACCTTAGATGGACGATGGGGCAGAATCAAATGAAAATTGCAATACGAAAAGATGGATCGTTAATTCCGAGGGGGGGGGTAGAGTCTATTCCTATTTTAGAAAGGAGAATCTGCGCTGTAAGATCCTTCGTAATGCAGCCTACGCGGTGGCGCAATTTACGCGATGAAACCCGTGTAATGCAACCTACGCGGTGCACTGTGCGCGGTGCAATCCTGGTGGTGCAATCAGCGCGGTGCAACCTATGTCATGCAATCTGTACGGCGCAATCAATGTTGTGCAATTCAGTTTGACTGTCTTGAGACTGTCCTCTCCACTGCTCGTGCAAACATCCCACCCTCCAACCCGCAACTTGGTCGCAATACTTCTCAAGACCGTGACGGTAGGTACCAAATGGCACTTGGCAACGACACCGACGGCGACGACAGCGACGGCGACGGCAGCGACGACGCCGCCGACGCCGCCGACACCGTCTACGACGACACCAACGACGTCTCCAACGACTTCCACGGCGACGACACCGACGACGACGACGTCGTCGACGACGACACCGACGACGACGACGACGCCGACGACGACGACGATGACAACGCCGACGACGACGACGCCGACGACGACCACGCCGCCGACGACGACGACGAAGACGACGACGACGACGCCGCCAACGAAGCCGACGACGACGAGGGAGGAAGGAGGACGACGACGGCGATAGCGACGACAACGACGAGGGAGGAGGGAGGGCGGCGACGACGCGAACGACGAAGAAGGAGGGATGACGGCGGCGCCGACGACAACGACGAGGGAGGAGGGAAGACGACGACGGCGACGAAATAGGACGGACGACGGCGAGACGCTGACGACGGAGGACGACGTCGAGGGAAGAGGAAAGTCGACCACGGCGACAACGACGACGGAAACGACGATGACGCAAAGACGACGACGACGAGGAAAGCCAGAGGACAACGACGGCGACGACGGCGAAGACGACGACGAGGGAGGAGGGAGGACGGCGACGACGACGACGACGACGCAAGAGCGCTCGCGCACGCTTTTGTTGAACATCAGTGTTGCAAAACCCTGTGCTCGCGAGTGGTTTTTGGACACGATTTTGAAATCCCTCCGAAACTAATGTTTTTGTTGGTAAACAAGTGGATTCCGGCATGCGCGCGCGACGACGCGCGCGTCTGCACTTCGTCAGTTCTTTTGCAGAGGTTCCTCGTGACGGCACGCGCGCAAGGGCGCCCGAAAGATTTCGACATGCGGGTTCGGTCGTATTTTTTTGTGAAAGTCATTCAACACTGATTGGGGGTGGATTGAGGGCGGGTGGTTTTCAAAATGTGGTTCTCGCCTCCGCGCCGCGCACATTCGTTCTAACTGATTTCAGAAGTTTCACGGATTGAGGGCGGTTCCTGTTCAAAATGTGGCTCTCGCCTTCGCGCCGCGCGCACTCTTGTTAAAGAATTGCAAGAGTTTCAAGGACTTTCACGGACTCTTTTGATCGACGTACCAGAAATTCTGTTTTGGAAGGATTCGCGATTATGAGGGCGCAACAGTTACGATAAATCGCGCTGTTGGAGTCCCAGGAATGGCGTTTTGGCACGATTCAGGATCGTCAAGACGCAACAGTCAAGTTTATCCTTGGCGTTGGAATACCGAGAACAATGTGTTGGCATGCTTCGGGGTCTTCAGGCGGTTGTCTTCCAACGAGGCAGGTCCCGTGCTTGAAACGAACCGTTGTAGAAGACTATGGAGAGGGAGCTTGGGGGATGGCTTATTCCAACATCGTTGGTGACTCTTGGGTTTGCACTGGCCCTCCTCCTCCTCCTCCTCCTTGGACGCCCTGCCACTTGGACTCCCCCCCTCCTCTGTCGCCTGGGCCAGCCCGCCCCGACGGCCCCGCCCCCAGTCGAGGCGGGGCCCGCCGCGCTCCTAGCGAGCCGCCGCGCCGCGGCGGCGCTCCGGACCGTGCCACGCCCACGCCGCCGAGGGCGAAGGCGGCCGCGCTTTCGCTCGGGTGCAGCGGCCTGGGGGAGCGGTCTGAAGGGGGGCTCAGAGGGGGAGAAGGTACTCCAGACTTCGTAATAAAAGGGAGGGGGTCTGGACCCTCCAAGACAAGCCATTTCAGACCTCCCCCGTGGGAGAACCCTCCAAAACATCGTCCCCAGACCCCCAGGCCCTCCAAGATAGCCTGGAAGAGACCCCCCCCGAAATGAAACCCCCCTTCCTTTATTACGAAATCTGGAGTACCCATGCCGCACCCCTTCCATCGGTTTCCCTTCCGGTGGGCCTCCAGGGGTGCCCTCGCCGCCACCGCTGGAGCCGCCTCGAAGAGTCCTCGGCAGAAGGCACCGCAGGAGAGGTCCGGAGAGTAGCCGTCTCGGTGCCTTTTGGCTTCCCCAGGGGGTGGGTCGGACGGGCTGGGACAAGGATAGGTCCGTTCCAGAACGTTCCGGAACGCTCACGGAGCGTTCCGGGACGCTCTGATCCGCCGGATCTCAGAGATTCTCGATTTATCTTCACCCAATGATATCCTTGTCTTGGCTTCGTCTTAGTGGGTGGGTCTGCGGCTTCGGTTCGGCGACGGCAATGGTTTCCTTGAGGCCGCCGAGGCTCGGGGGAGGGTGGAGAAGGCCAGCACAGAAGCGTGTTTTTGTATTCTGGGCCGATGACGGCCGTCATCTGGGGGGGAGGGTAACGATGACGTCACGCTTCGCGCCTGCGTCGTCGGGAATGCCCAGTAAGACCGAGGCCGGGTAGCAGCAGCATGTAGGTGGCGATCAGCGCCTGTTGACACCACAGTGCCTGCGTGCACCACAGCGCCTCTGTACACCACGGCGCCTGTTTGCACCACAACAACCGTGTGCAACACAGCGCTAGTGTGTGCCACAGTGCCTGAATGCACCGCAGCGCTTGTGTACTCCACAGCGCCGCCTTCAGTGTACACCACAGTGCCGGCGTGCACCACATCGCCTCTGTACACCACGGCGCCTGTCTGCACCACAGAAACCGTGTGCAACATATCACCGTTGTTGCATACATAATGTTTGAAGGAGCCCTTACGACAAAATGCAGCGCCTGTGTATTCCGCAGAATACAGTTGCAGTGTATAGAATTTTGTCTAGAATCGTTATTGCACATGTAGGGCCCCTGGAATCTATGAGTCCTCTATCTCGAGGGGGAGGATGAAAAGGAGGAGGAGGAGGAAGTGGAGGAGGAGGAGGAGGAGGAGGAGGAGGAGGAGGGGGAGGAGCAGCATCAGGAGCCATTCTCATTCGGCGGTGCACACTGACTGAGATGCGACCGTGCTTCTTAGCGCCGACCAGCACGGCGGGGAGAAGGGTGAGGGAGAAGGGGGATGATGATGATCATGATGATGATGATGATGATGATGATGATGATGATGATGATGATGATGATGATGATGTTGTTGTTGTTGTTGTTGTTGTTGTTGTTGTTGTTGTTGTTGTTGTTGTTGTTGTTGTTGTTGTTGTTGTTGATGATGATGATGATGATGATGATGATGATGATGATGGATGAGGATGAGGATGAGGATGAATGGGGGGAGGAGGAGGAAGAGGAGGAGGAGGGGGAGGAGGAGAGAGGAGGGAAGAACATCGCTCTCAGCACCCTCATTGTCTTTTTGGGTGTCCGCAGCAGATCCTCACCCACGTGCTCCTTCTACCTGTCCTGTGCACGCAGGCGCTGTTGTGTACACCAGCGCTGTGTTGCACGCCTATGCTGTGGTGTACACAGGCGCTGTGGTGTGCACAGGCGCTGCGGTGCACGCAAGCATTGGTGTACACACGCTGTGCTGCAGACGGCTGCTGCAGTGTACACATTCGGTGTGGTGTACACAGGCGCTGCGTTGCACACGGCTGTTCCGGTGTACGCAGACGCTGTGGTGTGCACGCGCGCCGTGGTGCACGCCAGCATTGGCGGTGTGGTGCAGATCGCCACTACATGCTGCTCCTACTTGGCTTCAGTCATCCCTTGGCATTTCTGGACGCCGCGGGGGCCGGGGCCGCTGACGGCCGCTATCCCGGACAATGCGAACTACATTAGAGAAAACCCCAACCAGTGGATGATTTGAACATTGATCCTATGGATCTTTAGATTGATTGTGAGATCGATCATGAGATCGATAGTGAGGACGATTGTGAGGTCGATCGTGAGACCGAGAGTGACATCGATTAAATGAGATCGGTCGTGAGATCGATCGCGAGATCCCCCATGCGATCTCTAGTGAGATCGCTTGTGAGATTGATAGTGATATCGATTGTGAGATGGATGGTGATATCGATCGAGCAGTCGGTAATGAGATCGATGGTGAGACCGATCGATAAGAAGATCGACCAAGAACCCGGGAACCCGGGAACCTCGCCGCCCTCCGAAATCGGCGAACCGGGAACCCGGGAACCCGGGAACCCGGAACCGGGATCCCGGGAATCCGGGAACCCAGCGTGCGACCAGAATCGGCGGGGCATTTTCGCCAAATCCTTCAACATCCGCGAGGGCCTCTTCAGTGAAAGCACTGATTGGGGAATATTGAATGAGATCCGTAATGAACTCGACAGTGAGATCGGTAGTGGGATCGATAGTTAACCATCGGCCCAGAACCAAAGATCAGGAACCTGGGAACCCAAAACCAGGAATCCGGGAACCAATGAGATCCGTAATGTACTCGACAGTGAGATCGGTAGTGAACCATCGGCCCGGAACCAATGACCAGGAACCCGGGAACCCAGGAACCAGGAACCGGAAACCCGGGAACCCAGCGTGTCACCAAAATCGACGAGGCATTTTCGCCATTTTTTGCAACATCCGCGAGGACCCCTTCAGTGCACGCACTGATTAGGGAATGAGATCCGTAATGAATTCGATAGTGAGATCGGTAGTGATAACCATCGGCCCGGAACCAAAGATCAGGAACCCGGGAACCGAGAACCAGGAACCCGGGAACCAATGAGATCCGTAATGTACTCGACAGTGGGATCGGTAGTGAACCATCGGCCCGGAACCAATTTGACCAGGAACCTGCAACCCGGGAACCAGGAAAAGGGAACCCGGGAGCCCGGCGTACCACCAACATCGGCGAGGCTTTTCCGCCAACTCTTGCAACATCCGCGAGGACCCCTTCAGTCCCTGCGTGGGACTCGCATTGCCTCGGTTTTCTTTTCGTTGTTGCTTCTTGCGGTTGGTCCTGGTCGCCATGTTTTGGGCTACGTTTTTGCAGGTGCTGGTGCTCGGCGTGTGTGCAGCGCGGGCGCGGCAGCAACAAAAACCCATCGCGATACGCCCGGCCCTGAAGCTCCGCCCGCGAGGTGCACATTGGGGGACGCCCACGGCACCCCGAATGTTGCAGCTTGGTTCGGCATCGGGCGAGGTGGGGAATTGAGAAGGAGAAGGCCTTCTCAGAAGGCGGGACTTCTCAGAAGCCCTCGCGCCTTCTGACAAGTTTTTCTCTCAGGAGGCCAGGGAGCCTCCGAGACTTCTGAGAAGGCCTGCCTCTTCTCGTTCCCCCCCGGGCGTGCCGCCAAACATATTGGGGGACGCCCACGGCACCCCGAATGCTGCAGCTTCTTCGCCTCGGGGGCGGTCACCGCGCATACCGCGCAGCGCGCGCAGTGCGCGCAGCGAAGAAGCCAAGGTTATCCTGACGACAAGCATATGGTTGCTCTCGCCTCAGCGCCGGGCACATCCATGATTGCGAAAGTTGCTCTCGCTTCAGCGCCGGCCAGATTCCTCATTAGAGACGAAGAGAGATTAGCGATACAGTTGGCACTCGTGCGTTGCATGCTGCTGTGTCGCCCCCTTCGGGTGCATCATTTGCTACAACGCGCGTTTGACACCCTGGTGTCGCCGAGCCGTTGGTCATGCGCTTCAATGCGTCAGGTTAGCTTTTGCGCAGTGTCGACACTGTCTGGGTCAGGTTAGGTTGGGAATTTGTCACGTCAAGAAGGGGGGTTGTGTAAGCCTCAGATTGGGTCCGAGAAGATGTGGTCGGAGGATCGTGCCGCATCGCCGATGCATCGCCGACGCTGCTCGATGCGGGCTCTGGTGTTCTTCGCGCCGATGTCGCCAGTGCACCGCCGACGTCGTCGGTGCATCGCCGATGAATTCGCGACGTGTCTGCGATGCGGCGCGATCCTCAAGCAGTGGCGAAGCCTCCTGGCGTGCCTATAGGCCTACCAAAACATGCTCCAAGAACCTTTCGTGGATTCCACGAAATGTTCTTAGAACATTTGTGGCCAGGACTGTCTCGTTTTAGCACATCGGGCTTATGTTCTAAGAACATCGTTTTTGTTCTCAGAGCATTTTTTGGGCTCTAAGAACATTTCGTGCTAGGACTATGGGAATGCCGGGACGGTCGGTCCCTGCTCAAGATCCTCTGACCCCGCCTGCTCGTGCCCCGTCCAGGGTGCCTCCAGTGGGGTCCAGGGCCAGTGGGCCCCGCAGTCTGAGCCGCCCGGAGGAAGCGGACGAGGGGAGGAGGAGGAGGAGGAGGAGGAGGAGGAGGAGGAAAGCTCAGGGGCAGTCATACGGGGGATAGGCTCGGGGGGGGAGAGCATCGACCCCGACAATGGCCCCGTGATCGCCGATGAGGGGCTGGTAGCCCCGCCCCGCCCAAGCACGTGCGGAGTCGCCATCGCCGATCCATCGGCGACGCGTCGCCGATTCCAGGTCGATGTTCTCCCCGT